CCCAAACTTTGACTACTTTAAATAGCATCTTTGTTCTATGAAAAGGACAAAGTTCAAGTCATGGAAAAAGGACATAAGCCTAAAGCCATCAGTGAATACAGGTAGTTCATTAGAGTCCAGCAACTGGTGGGGTCCTATTACCTTTCATGCTATGAAACTTAGAGAAGGGAGGGTATTGAAGAGAGGGAGAAAGGAAGGAGGAGAGAAATAGAAATGTCATGGAAGTCAGAAATATAGAGAACAGGATGGCTATTGTTTGGATTTGAGGTTAAGTGTACAGCAGTTCTCTATCCAACTATGAAAAAGTCTAGTTCTGGGCAGTCTTGCATTCTAGAAAGCAGTATTCACTTTATTACCTTTTTGAAATCTGATTCGATCATTGTAATGTAATCATCTGTATAAATCTGTGCTTATCCTAAAGATAATCAAGATAGCACAGGAACTATACAACTTTCTTATGTAGAGCTGAATCTACATATGTGATTTTGATGTAAATTTTGTCACCTTTTTTTCTTTTCATATATTAAATATACAAGAAGAGCATTAACTTATAAAATAATTTTTCAGTACCTTAAATAACGTACTGATAGTGAGTGCTAACAATGTCTTTTCCTTTTTCTTTATTCAAATAGAGCTACATTAGAGATCCTGATGAATTCCAGGGGAAAAGGCAAATCTGAAAATTTATAAATAAATAAGTATAATGAAAATGACAATTGACTCATTAGAAGAGAATCACAGTTCTTCTCCCATGATTATTTGATAGGATATTCTGATTAAAGAACAGATCGATTAAAATTTCTTTTCTCCTTTTGCTGCATGATATTAGATTTAAAAAAATCTATCAAATGGACTTTATTTGTGTCTTGAACGTCATAAGATTCATAAGATTTTTTAGTATTACATCACAAGAGAATGCAATCTATTTATAATTGAAAACAATGCTGCTTGAAATTATATGAATTGATTTTCCCTTCCAGAACATCTATACACTTATGCTTACTGTCTGCATTGTCTTATAGCCTGTCATAATAATAATGGTGATAATAGGTAGCATTTATTGAACACAGACTATTTGCTTGGCCTTGTGACCACTTTATCTTTCATTTTGTCATTAAGCAAATTATAGAAACACTAAATCATTTGGTGAATCTGGAATAAACAAAATGTTTGCTTAATTATCTTTCAAATTTAAGAATACATAGTTCATTAAGAGTGCTTGTCTGAAATGGCACTTTTGATTACAGTCCTACATTTACTTTTCTCTATGGCTGACACAGCATGTAGAAGTTGAAGTAATGTCTCAACAAGGGAAAAACTGAATTGCACCCAAAAAGAATTAGTACCTTTGTATGCTTTAGTCTACTAGGATTCACCAAAGTCGAGCTGATTCTATAGAAATTTAGGTTTTTCTAAAGTAACATTTGTTGTTGTCTGACTAAATGTGAACATAGGCAAGATGTAAGAAAGTAGTGGAGTATTAAACATCTCATATTACTGAATATTAATTTTAGTTCCAATACCAATTTGTGTAATGGTAAGATTTACATAACAGAAGCTGAAAAGAAACACCTAAAATTCTTTGACTCTAAAGGAGTAAAGTCCAAGTTGAAGTTATTTAATATCAATTGCAGCTGAACATGTCTACATATAAGGAAAATAAAATCATACATTTAGGTTAAAAATCATAAAGGAAAACAGAATATTTAAAAATGTGAAATCTAGACTTTGAGAAAAAATCTCTGATTTTAACCTAGGTTTTTTCATCCTGAAAAGTGGTGAGATAATCTAAGCAATCCAGAATTTGCCCTGGCTCACTGCCAAGAAGGTCTCAAAAAGACTCCTGTCTCAGTTACAAAGCAATGTGTAAAGTCCCTGATACAGAGGAACATCTAAAGAAATTGCAGCAAAAGGAATGATGAGGCAAAGTTAAGTACATTTGAAACAAATGTAGAATAGCTGCTAACCTGTACTCCAGGAAAAATTGCCTTTTTGTTTAATGAAATGATCCAGCAGTAACATTTTTTAAAGTGTAGTTTGTTTCTAGAGTGATTTCACATGTAAATGACTAAAGACTTTCTCTAAGTTGTCGGTACCTAGGAACCAATAATTTTCCCTGAACTCAACCTGTAACATATTTTTCAATTGTATGAATATTTTCATTGTTTAAAATTGTGATACAGAAAGTCATTATTTTTACTATTTAAAGTTCAGCATACAGAAGTTGGCAAACAAAAAAGAATACTGTTCTTAATATGACCATTACATTTAATATTAATGTAAATCAAGGAGCATAGTGCTATTCTTACTTATCCCTTCACCATACAAAATTACTGATGTTAACAAGTTAGCACACTTGGTTAGAAAGTAGAAAAGTACTTTTTTCATTCAGCTCCATCTAGACCCTAATTTCCTACTTGTAGTCGAGAAGATCAAACATATTAATATTTAACCTCTACTTATACAAACAGGTAATCTTTAACTGAGTGTTAACTATGCAAACTATTGCAGTAATTTTTTATGAATTATCTAATTTCACCTTCATAATAACTCTTGGGAGATTTATTATTAACCCCATCTTCCAGAACTCGAGGCCCAGGTAGTGTAAGGAACTCATGCTAGTTTACACACCTTGTACGTACTGAGGTGGTGCTTGTGTTTTCACCTATAACTGTGACTCCATGTTCTATGGCTGTAGTAGTTGTCTTCCTATAACAACTTCCACGTTATGCTTAGACCTCTCTTACATGGTTTCTGTGCATTTCAAATTAAAATCAATCCTTGTGTCTCTTAAATGACCCTCCCAATGATTAATATCTCTATGTAATTTTCTTGGTTTAGACTCAGCTGGCTTTTTAAATTTTTTTAGTTTGCCTAGCTACCTATAGTTTAGTCTCTCTCGTATTAGGGTAGAATTATACCGTTTAGAATTGGAAAAAAGAGTGAAGGTTATCTAGTCTATTTGATAAACAGATCTCTTTATACAACCTTTCAGTCAATGCATGAATATATCCAGTGATACAGCCCCTGTCTCTGGTAATAGCCCTTTCCCTCCTCACACAGCTCAGGGTGCCTGAAATATCAGTCTTACATTGACTCTCTGTAGCATTGATCCTTTACAATCATTTCGTGAGAGGAATGGCATTTACATTCAGATATCGTGTGGTGGATTCTCTGTTCTTTCTGTCTGGAGACTCACAGCTCTCATTTATTTCTGATGATGACTTGCATGAATGAAGCTCCCTTGATCTATTTCTTCCTTCCCTCCTTCCTTCTATTCTTCCTTCCTTCCTTTTTTTTTTTTTTTTGTCAGAGGTAGAGAATAAGATAAGAGAAGCCCAGTATTGTACTGTTTCTCATGAAGAAATTAGAAAAGCATCTTTTAACAGTGTATTAACAATTAATTCTTCTAATTTTGTGTGTAAGATGTATAGGTAGGTAGGTAGGTAGGTAGATAGATAGACAGGCAAGCATTCAATTTAATATTCATGACCTGGTAATATGGAAAAGAAACCATGTGAGTTGTGGATGATGAGCTATTAACTATATATCTCCTTACGTGAGGGAATGTTAATTCTGGTAGATAAGTCATTTATAGGAATGATTGTAATAATTGACAGTGTGATGCAGATTATGCGTAATTCAAGCAAAATATTACAAATAAATTAATTCTATGAGAATTTTTAGGGATTGCCTTTGAACTAGCTTGGAAGAGTGATACTGTTTTCTCTAGGTGGCACATAGTTGTAGGTGTCAGGAACAATGGCAGGAAAGGCTAATAAGTGGACGACCACAGAGCATGTTTTCCTGGAGGGTTGTGGACATGAGAAAGAGTACTGAGGTGGGGTCTAAACGCAGATGGTGTTGATCTGACCTTTAAGGCTAAGTTAAGGAGTTTGAACTTTATTCTCTATTAAAATAATATTTTTGATAAGATGGAAAAGGCAATAAGAGAAATAAAGCAGGCAACTTATCAAATGACTAATGTCCTGGGATAGGGCTGGGACATTGAAGCGGAAGGGTCTTCATTTCGGCTTCCTCTCCTTGGAAGGTACATTCTACATTTTATGGAGGCTGATGAAAAGGTTCTGTGTGTGCACGGTAAAAATCTGAATCATTGATTCAGGACACATTTCTGGAGACTCCTCAACATTTCTATCCCATGAGAGATGGGTTGTGGTGGTATATATATATATATATATATATATATAAACCTAATTTCAATTGAAGCAGATAAAGAAAACCTCTTTGGTGATGATCAACACTTACTTCTCTAGTGAAAAGGTGGACTTACTGTTATTTCTATCTGAAGATGTTTTTGTCACTTGAGGTGTAGGTCTAAAAAAGTTCAGTATTTGCCTGTTCACAACAAAAGCAAATTGGAAATTAATAACAAACTGAAAAATTGGGGTCATGTAGTAAAATTTATTTAATTCAGTGTTTTCGTAAAAGCCTAACTCAGTTGATCTATTATATATGTCAGTTACAAAATATTACAAAGGATTTAGACGGTGAAGTTAATGATTTAATGGTCAAAAAGACATAAATAAAAAGAGGCCTCAAACAACCTAGGAAGTTGAACAGTGTTTTCCCCACACTACCTCTGCTCTGTTGGTCCCTATGCTTATCCTTCTAGCAATGACTTGGAGCAAATGAAACCACTTAAACAAGTCTTAGTAAAGTTAAAGACATTTTGTATACAAAGTGACCATTCTGATCTATTACTACATGCAGAGATTGCACCAGCCCAGTTGTTTGGACAAGGTATTTCCTTTCTTGTGTAGGAGTGTGTGGTCTTGAATATGAAATCAGCAAACTAATGGGAGTATAACTCCCACTTCAATGAAATGTAAAGAAGTCCTGTATATTTTTTAGTACCACAAAGAATAACCACTGATTGGTAACTACAGCAGGCAGTAGCCACATTACCATGTACCGATAGTCTGTGCTCATATAGGACCTCACATTAACACCCAATGTCTTGCTTTGTTACCTTGCAGAAATGTTGGAATCCAACAATGTGATCACTTTCAATGGCTTGGCCAACAGCTCCAGTTATCATACCTTCCTTTTGGATGAGGAACGGAGTAGGCTGTATGTTGGAGCAAAGGATCACATGTTTTCATTCAACCTGGTTAATATCAAGGATTTTCAAAAGGTATCTTTATTCTAATATATGTACTATAATTCTTTTGAAACAATTCAAGTTATATAGAATTTTCTAGCTATTTAACAGTGTGACAACTGAAAAAAATTGTTTAAATTAATATTTTATCTTTTCAGACACAAATAAAAATAATGCACTGATCTATCACAAATCAGTGGATGTAGTAAACCGTCAAAATTATCAGGGAGGAAACTGTAGTATTTTCAGTGATCATTATAAGAAATACTAACTTTAGCTTATTCTTCCACAGTTCTATCATTTTTCCTGCATAAAATTAAATACCTAAAGCATTATAGAAATATATCATAATTGATTTCATGTACTAGGTATATATATTTATATATAATTTACATATCTCTGTATATTGCCAGCACATGCAGAGTTCATCACTCATCATTCACATGCCTCATCTGAACGTTGCCTGCGTTTGGAAAGTTTATTAGAACACAGGCACTCTCGTTCATTTACATATTGTCTATATCTGCTTTCATTCTACAATGGCAGAGCTGAGTAGTTGTGATAGAAATCATCTGAATCACAAAGCCTAAAATATGTACTATCTGGCCTTTTAAACAAAAAAGTTGGCCAAACCCAAAGATCAGTTTTCAGTGTCAGGTTTTTGCAAATATGGACATTTAGACACTAGCTTTCTATCAGTATTTTTAATATACTTATTGTGTTTCTGGATTATTTAATTAATAAGCTATACAGTTTGGAAAATAAACATGGATTGACAGATTAGTGGAAATTGTGCTACTGAGTCTATATGCTGTATTCTAAGTGAAACAGTTTTTTTTCAGTCGGTATTTCCTGTCAGTTCTCTGAGGAACAAAGATCTTTATGCAACAGCTTTCCCAAGAGTGGTAATATAACATGCTTTTTAGGGTGCATACACTTTATATATATATATATACATATATTAGTTTTGCTGCTTCTTAACACTTGGTTTTAAAGTCGTGTGCCTCAACTTCTTATAAACTGTAACATATTGGACAGTTATTTTTAAAAAGTAACAGAAATGTAAAAAGCTTTTTTTCTGGTTGGAGAATGTTGTTTTGGGATAAAGTGAAGATTTAATTTCAGGGCTGATTCATATCTCTAATAGAGTATACCGCTAAACCTAAGTCTTTTACTTTTCTTCTTTTACCCAAACATTAAAATTCTGACTATATATTAAGAGATTTGATTCGCAACATATAGTCAAATAAAATGGCAATGCCCTTAATGATATATTTTGGAATTAAGATATAACATTTAAAAATCACCTTGGATATTTCTTTTTTTGATTTTTCAATATATTAGATTTTGAAGCTTCCTCAGATTAACAATATCCCTAAGGTTATCTACTATCTAAGAAAACTGATTATCCATTGTTTTTTCTGAAATGATCAAAATATTTATCTTAGCAGCTTTTGTAAACGTCAAAAAATAAGCAAGTTTTTGTTGTTTTAGTGAAAGACAACCATCCTTTATAAAATGAATGAAAAATCTAAGATGATTAGGAAGACTACATATTTTAATAACAGGAGGTTATATCAGTTCAAATTTTCAGTGTTTATAGAAATTTCATCATTTTATGAAATCCATATATATGAATATATGTATATACTTATTATATCTATGTATCTGTTGTATATATCTATGTATCTATAAATAGAAAATATTTGAGCACATCTCACCTCAGAATATATGTTTAATGTATTCAACATTTTTTCTGAATAAATATTCTTAATTTGGTTTATATATTCAGTTGGCTCTAAAATTGAAAAGAACTAATTGTCATATAAACAACCTACTATTTTATAGGTAAGAAAAATCCTAGAGACATTTGTGTGCCCAGGATGCATCACTTGTAATAAACATATACTGAAATAATAGGTTAAATAAAAGTTAAGTGACTTGCCCAGTGTCATAGTGTTCTTATAGGCTCTTGATTCAGATCATTATTCTAATAATAGAAGACATATTTCTAATTTTAAAGCATTCGATTCAATACATTATTTAATTTTAATTATATCACACTCTTTATAAGGGTAAATATAGTTTACTTAAGGATTATATCTGTTTGTCTATATTGTCTATTAATGCTCTTTTTAGCCTATATGTAATATTATTCAACAACTTTTTCCTAAGCATCTACTACTGTGATAAACTCTATAGGGGGCGCTAGGGTATGTCATCAGTAATTCTTGAGGAACTTACAAGATAGTACTAAAGATGTATGAGCATAAAGGTAAATACTAGGCCAATCCCTGTTAGAGACAAAAACACAGTCTCAGGATTGGAAGGACCATGAAAAGATTCTTGGCCTTGGTAAAGGTCTCAGTCTCCTTAAGGCATAAATGCTTATTCGATAATGAGTAAGAAGAGCTACCATGGGTAGATGTATAGAAGCCTAAAGAAGGGAAAGTCTAAAATAGATCATGAAGCACTCTGAATATGAGGGTAAGAAATTTAGTCACTGTTAACTGAGAAGTTTTTGAGCAAGAAGAAAAAATATCAACAGGTTAACAAATCTAACCAAAAGATAGGAATTATTCTTCATGGAAATAGATGCTATTGGAAGGACAATTTATATATTTGTTCCGTTGACTTATAGTTATTCTCATTAAATTGCTTTCCAAAAGAGCACTTTCTACACCAGAATTTATTTTACTCATGCCAGATCTTTAAGCTAATATTTTTTTACCCTGATCTGTAACAAGTACACACCCCTCTAAATATGAGAGAATTTAGCATGAATGTTAGCAAAATTACTTTTTATTAATATTTGTCATAAGAGAGAAATCACAAAATGAGGCCCATGTTGTGTCAATGCTGATAATCAAGAGCTAGGAGACTACGAGAAAACAACCTGCCCCTTTCAATTTAAAAAGTTATCTGTTTTAATAATCTGTGATTCTTGCACAATCTAGCTGGAAAGCTGAATATAGTCAATAAATCTTAGCTCTTCTATATATAATTTTTGTGTCCCAGAGAAAATTTATATTTGATCCTCCTCCTGTGTATGTTTTACTTTACATACACAGACACACATGAGAAGAAAAGTACATGAAAAGGAAAAGAATACATAAATTAAGAGCTTCAAATGGTAAAAATAAATCCATGTCCAAAAATTTTTAGGGCTTTTTATTGTGATATGGACCTGAAATGCATTTGCCATGTCATCATAGGTTATTTCAATATGTCCTAAATTCTCGTTTATAAATGTGTTATATTTTGCTTTTTAATTCCCTAGATTGACTATCACAGCCTTTGCCCAAGTTTATGACCATTTATACTGAATTATCTAGAGGTTCCCAAATGAATGATAATCAGTCATTTTGAGACTAAAAGCTTTCTAGCAGACATGGATGATTAACTGCCATCATCTCTGGATTTTTCTTTTACATATGACTTTTTTTTTCCCTGAAATTAACTAATGTTACCAGAAAAGAAAGATGAATAAAAAAAAATTACAATTGCTCTACCCCAGTACAGATAGGAGTCATGGGAATTGCTCAGGGGACTGGAAAATTTTATATTAAAATTTAGATGAGGGTATTTGAATTAATATTATTGAGGGAAATGCATCTACAATTCTCTAAGCCGTGAGTCATGCCTTGATTTATCTACCACTGTCAACTGATTTATCTACCACTGTCACTGTATTCAAACAATACAGGAACCTCTGGAAAGATGAAGACCAAATATCAGGGATGAAAATAGTTATTACACAGTTAGTCTGAGTTTTGCCCACAGTGGGGAAGGTGATTTTTTTTTTTTTAGAGCTATCTATTTGCTTCTTCATTTCCTCCTTTATCTCCTGAAATTATGTAGTGCTACTCTTACCTATTTTCCTTGTCCAAAAAAAAAAAAAAAAAAAATTCCTTTCTAAAATGGGTTTTTCTAACCCTATCAGTTGCTCATTAGAGCATGTCATGCTGAGATTTGAATGACAGAAATGGATCCAGAGCACCTGATGTTAACATTTCAAAATCACTATTTTATGATAAAGACCAATTCATTTAGAAGACTGCAAGCCACATTCTATGCTTATTTCTCTCTCTCTTCACTAGATTCTCACGTGGTCTCAGGATGATCTCCCTTTCCCAACCTGCCTTACAATTCTTTGCATTGCACACTGCTTACATCTACTGACTACATAAATTTCTGTGTTGCTCAACTTTCATTTATACAGCAAAGCCTAATGGGTAGACAGAGAGTGAAAGATATTAAGTTCATGCCAATTGACTGATGCCACTGCAAAGTCTTAAACTAAGAGGTTCCTGCCACATAATGCTTTATGGAACTTTCTTTATCTCAGTTGCTCCACTTGTTCTAACAGACTATAAGGTTGGATCTCTTAGAAAACTTAATTGGCAGAAAATAATGTTTCTTCTCTGCCCTTAGATTGTGTGGCCAGTGTCTTACACCAGAAGGGATGAATGCAAGTGGGCTGGAAAAGATATCCTGGTAAGTATCAATCTACTAAGTTATTTTAGTAATTGCATAAGGAATTTATTACTCTATCATCATTTTTGTCCAGTGTTATATTAAACACCATTCTTTGCTTCAGGACTTAGAAACAAATTAATGATATTTGATTTTGAATATTGACATTTTTATGTAAAGCATTGAAAATCTTATTGTAAAGCAAGTGGGTAGAAAATGACAATACACCTGAATAAAGCAAAAATGGGTTCCTTTTGATGATTTATATACACAAAAGGTAATTAACAGTTTTAGCATATATACTTATACTCAATAAGTCAACTTATTTGTGCAGATTTGTTTTCATGTTAATTCCTCTTGAATTCCTTTTGAATGAATTGAAATTTTTCTTCTTCTGAATCATCATGATGAAATTCCCCTCCTTCTTTCCATTTCATTCTATTCCTTTTCTTTCTTTTCCTTTCCCCTTCTTTCCTTCTTACATTTCTTCTTTTTTCTCCTTCCTCCCTTAGAACTTCTCTCTTCCCTTCCCTCCTTCTTTCACACATTTCATGCACTCATTCCTTAAATAAATATGGATTGAGAAATGACTATGCAACAAACATTGTCCTGGGTACTACGGACAAAAGATGAGTGAATGGTAAGCAGTCCCTACAATGGTTGTACCACTGTTAGTAGGTAGAGGCCATTTTTCCTGAGGTAAACTTTGTCAGTTAAATTAAGTGGGCCGCTGGTTTGAAGTATAGCCAAGGATCTGCACAGATCATGAAAGGCAGTTATAATCATTTAAATCAATAAATTAACATGAATTCAGGATTTTAAATATTTGTGTTATTTTATGTCTTATCAGATATTTTTGGATCCAAAACACAAGGAAATAAGTTTAAAAGTTTTGTCTCTATATTAGCATTTAGAAGAAATTTATTCTATGTGCATAAAGACATAAATCAACTTGTATGTATGTATATAGACATATAGATATTTTCAAGGGACGATCTGATTGATTGGTAGCAGCTGCCTAAGATTATGTATATGTTTAGAAGGGTTTAGAAGTGAAATCAGTGTTCATGGAAAAGAATGTCTCAATCTGGTAGCAGAATTGGCTACAGGTGAAGGCAGATAAAGGAGCACAAAGCACAGGTATCTCCCATCCATGATTAATACATATCAGCAAACATGGGAAATTCATCCTTAAAAATTTCAATTTAAATATAGTGATTACAAGTCACATTATACCATAGTACAGTAAACACTTTCCTGATTATGTGCAAGTGGACAAAAAATTCTGTTCTATCAAATTTTATACTACCCCAAGTTAATACATAGGTTGGGATGATTGAAAAGGAGTAAATAGAAAGAAAAATGAAGTAGGAGTCCAAAGAATCAAGAGTTTTATGTTGATTCCCCACTGACTCATTAATTTTACTTGAGCAAGTACCTTAACTTTTGGGGGGTTTTAGTATCTTATCCATTAAATGGGACATTACATATTTGCAGTTGTGAGAAAGAAGTTCAATAGATTTTGTGATAATTATTTAGAAGTAGGTAATATTGCATAAATGTAGGCAAAAAATATGACTGAATACACAAAAATTTATTAACATCAAAATGCTATATTTACCATTAACAAATTA